GCTAGAAAATGGCATAGTTTGGCCTCAGGGTTACCCACTGAAAATATATGCATGGACACCCACCCATGCATGACGTGGCACTACAAATAACCCAATATTATGTGACTGTTGAACAGAGCAGCCTCTCTAAGCACTACCAAAGAGATTAAACTCCTTATGAACAGTTGGAAGCACAATGGAAAGTCACAGCCACTAGTTAGTCCAATAACCAAAAATTTAAGATAGGTAAATCATGATGGCCCTGGTAGAAGAAAGAAAGAAACACAATCGGTAGAACATATCCTGAATAGGAAACAAAGGATGAACCTCTACTCCAGTTCAATAAATATGGAAGTATTTTGGGCTGGAGAATAAAGTTATCTGTTTCTTTTAATTGAAACAAATCCTCTATAAATAATAAATTATATATTAAGAATTTAAATAATGCATTATATATTTATAATTATAAAAAAAAAAAGTTGTCTATTTTTTATTATTATTGCTACTGTTCCTGTTAATCAAATTAGTTGTTAATTAAAAAGTATTATTGTTGTTGCTACCATCACTGGTCTTTTAACAAAATTAATTGTCAAAAAAATTTAACGGTAAAAGAAAAATTTAACATTTGGTTAATAAAGTCTGGAATTTATACAAAGGATAACGTATGACTGCTACAATATTTAAAATAATAATAATAATAATGTTTACTATTTTTAAGATAATAAGATTAAGTAGAATAACCCTGCAGATTGGAAACGTAAATAATATTTTACTTATTGATTAATTTAAAGAAAGCAGTGTTATTACTTATCATAGTATATTTTTAAAAAATACAAGGTTATTGATAATTCATTTGTTTGCATGAAATTATATATATATATATATATATATATATATATACAAACATTATTCGTTTGTTCATTCATTTGTTCCTCCATCTATATATTCAGTTACTTATTCAATGAACTCGTCGAATATATTTAGCATTATCTACAACTAATATCGTAATCTTTCTAAAGAATATATGAATAATACAGATAAGGAAACCAGTTGATTAATCAACCAGGATCATTAAAAAAGAAACAGATGAATTAAAAAATAATAAAATGAAAATGAAGAAAAATTTACATTTACATTAAAATTGTGATAAAAATAAGAAAATTTCGGATAATAAAATTTGGAATTTATGCAAATGATAATGTATGAGTGTTACAAAATTTAAATAAGAAATAATAATAATAATGTTTACTATTTTTTAAGATAAGATTAAGTAGAATAACCCTGCAGATTGGGAAAGTAAATAATATTTTACTTATTGATTAATTTAAAGAAAGCCGTGTTATTACTTACCATAGTATATTTTAAAAAAATACAAGGTTATTGATAATTCATTTGTTTGCATGAAATTATATATATATATATATATATATATATATACAAAGTTTATTCATTTGTTCATCCATCTGTATATTCAGTTATTTATTCACTGAACCCATCAAAAATTTACAACTAATATCATATTTTTTCTAAAAAAATGTTATAGTTTTTCTAAGAAAAAAATTTCTTTTGAAATATCTACAACTAATATCGTAATCTTTCTAAGGGATATAGGAATAATACAGATAAGAAAACGAGTTGATTAATCAATCAGGATCATTAAAAGACAAACAAATAAATTAAATAATAATAAAACAAAAATGAAGAAAAATTCATATTTACATTAAAATAGTAATTAAAATAAGAAATTTTCATATCTACATTTTCAAAGAAAAAGATATTAAATTTTCAGAAGCTTTGAAAAATATATCATTCTCATTGTAATTTTAACTGCATTTCAACTGCATTTAAGCTTTTTATTTAATTTTTCATGTGTTCATATAACTGTTTTCTTTGCTGGACATAAGGTGTATACAAATTGTATGAATGCTTCATATGTCTGAGAATATTTGTCTATTCTTTTAGCCATTATCATTTTCTTCAAATTATCATTTTCTTTAAACACCTCAACAATGTCAAACAAATGCTAGTTAATAACAGTTTTCTGAATTACGTCATAGATCACCAAATTAGCGTATTTCTTTCTAATAGCAACATTGAACATACAGATATAAACAATAAGATTACCATTTTATGTTGAATTTTTTCTTAGAAGCATTATAAAGAAATACATAATCCAAGGTGGCCAGAAAAATAAAATAAAATTATCTACTATAAAAAATTTAAAACAGCTAACCTTATCATCAACAACTACTCACCTGTAAGCTCCAAATTATAGAACCAATATTATTTATGAATTCACAGATCTCTTAAGGAACTTTGCTCCTGATCAAATGAAATTCATGAATAATTCTATTAGACATATGACAACATCCCTATCAAGAAGACTTACATTACATCTCTCTGATCATAGCTCTATAAGAACTGACTTAGAAACTGACCAAACTTCATCCCCAACATACTTGTAGAAAATACAACTATAATATCCTCATGAATATAAAAAAGACTAAAAATAATGGAAGTATTGATAATAAAAAATTAAAAGACAACACTTAATAACATCAACTAAGAACATGGCTACAATGTGTTGACTTTGTTGGAAAATAAAACATTCCCATAACATTAAATACATAGATAAAAATCTACACATTTAGAAAGAATTAAAAATAAAAAAACATCCTTGATAATGGCTAAAAGAATAGCTGTAATCACTCAGACATACAAAATATTTGAACAATTTTTACAAATCTTATGTCCAGAAAAAAACTTGTACGAACACAAGAAAAATTAAATAAAAAAGCTTAATCACAGTACCTTGTCTGCTGTCTTTAATGAAACTCATATATATATATATATATATATATATATATATATATATATATACACACACTACATATATATATATATATATATATATACACACACTCACATATATATATATATACACACACACACACACACACACACACACACACATATATATATATATATATATATATATATATATGAAATAGGTTAGTTAATAAAACAAGGACAAACAGATGGGTACTAATACTAATATAATCAGTACAATAAACATTTGTTAAATATTATTTATTAACCATATGACAGAAATGAAACACAAAGTGTAAAGTTTTAAGTTCAGAATTTTCAGACACTCCTGTTTCCTTCATCAATGGATCGAGGAATAAACATAGAAATGGGAATTACTCAATGACAGATGTTTTTGTAGATGGTGTATTTTCTGGTGGAAATCATATTGTTAGGAAAAGCCCAATCTCTCTTTGATTTCTTAATGTGCAAAACAGGGGGAGTGAGATTGTAAATATAGATGAATAGAATTATAGGTTGGGGAGGGGTAAAGACATCTTGCATGTAGCAAGTTGTAGCAAAAATTGTCAGACCAAGTTGTCAAGTGTAGAAAGATGGGCTATGGTTAGAATACTATGTGATGAAAAAATGAAAAGATAAAAAGGAAGGATTTTGTGTTCCCTTTAAATCTATTATACTGGACCCCCCACTCTACTGCATTAAGTCTCTGGTATTCCCAAGTAGTCACCCATCAAGTCTTGATGTTGTTTAACTTCAGTGATCGTAGGAGAACTGATGTTTCAACCTGATACGGCCATAAGCCTCTGGAGTCAAGAATCATTCAAATCCAAAAATAATATTTGAAATGGGATAATAGGGAATCTACTTCTGAAAGAGTCAAATTTATAATGAAAAGGGGGCAAAATACAACATTAGTATTAAAAAAACGTCTGAAAGGTATTATCAGGGATGTTGCAAGGGTTATTGACCCCCCCCCTGAATTTATGATACAACTCATCTCAATTTTCATAAGGTAGTATTCATATAAAATAAAGTTTTTACTGTAACTTAATTATATGCAATAATGGATCATATGCCATTATAGGTGAACAATTTGATTAGAAAAATTGAAAATAAATTCAATACAAATTAGAGACATGTCATAATAGATCATTCTTTCTGAAATAAATCAACAATGTTATGTGGCAATTTTTAACATCAGCTTGAGTTTTTTCTTGTTAAAAGTTGAATAATTTAACACATTCAACATTATCAATAAAAAATAGTGAATTTTAGATAGCTTTTTTTCAAGACCCCAGAATGATGTCAAAATCTGCAAACATTTTTCATCTTTTTAATAGTCAGTTGTGTTTAGTTTAATTTGTAATGTATATAAATGTAGGTAGAAAAAAGCAAATGTTGATGAAATAGTGATGATCACAAAGCACTGCCCAGGGACACCAATAAGGCTTGGCTTTTGTTGTTTGGTGGGGACTGGGGGTAGTACATGTCAGCCTTGTATGGATTGTCTAAATTCTTCAGTGTATAATATATACCAACAATAAGCATAAAGCAATAATAACAACAACAACTAACAATAACAACAACAACTAAGTCTAGTTTACGCTTTTAACATTTTTCCCATTGTAATATTTCAGCCATTTTGGGGCTGAAAAATATCCCAATCATCCTTCCTTATCCTCATAAAATACTATCATTAAAAAAAAAAGATCAAAGCAAGACATCAGCAGTTATGTTACAGAAGAAAATGTATCCGTTTCGTAAATGGAATGTGAATAAGTCCTGTAAATTTCCTTTCTGTTGGCAAAAGCACATTAAGAAAACATGCCAGGAATTCTGAAAGCTAACAGATATTTGTGCATTTCAGAACATGCCCAAGTTAAGGGCCTGTTTGTTTCTGCAAACACACCAGAGTGCCCGTAAGTAAATCAGTAAACGCTCGTGTGTGCAAATGTAAGTCTATTATGTCTGCAAGCCTCATAAGAATGTAAGAGCACATCTTAGAGTATTTCTTGATCAATTTGATGCAATTGATACTCGATTACATTTGGGTTTGATTTTTATTCCAACGCCCTTTAATCTGCAAATCTAAAATCATCGAGAATGAATTGGAAGGAGAGTGGCATGGACAATTGAATAAGGTAGACATTTTGTTAGCATTGATTTAACCGGAATGTCAATAAGAAAGGGTCTTATGGTGAATGTCTGCAGAGTGAGAAAGACGTCTGAGTGCCCGTTTTCATTGTGTTGGTTAAAGGAAGGAAGGAAGGAAGGAAGGAAGGAAGGAAGGAAGGAAGGAAGGAAGAGAAATACTGGAGATACAGATATCTAAGAAAGTGGCTGAAGGAAAAATTAGAAGTGGTTTTGAAAAGGGAGAAAAAAGAGAAGAAGAAGAAGAAGAAGAAGAAGAAGAAGAAAAGGAAATAGAAAAGTAAGAAGAAGAAAATGATGATGAAGAGGAAGAAGCAAAGTGAAGATGGAAAGAAAAATAATGAAGAAGAAAAATAGAGGACAGATGAAAGAAAAACAAAAGAAGGAAGGGAAGAAATGAATATAGGAGATATCAAAAGATGGCTGAAGAAAAAAATAAGAAGTGGTTTTGTAAAGGAAAGGGAGAGATGATAAGAAAAAGAGAAAAATAGAGAAGAAGAAAAGAAGGAAGAAGAAGAAGAAGAGAATGAAGAAGAAGAAGAGGAATAGGAAGAAGCAAAAGTGAAGATGGATGAAAAGAACAATAATGAAGAAAAAAATGCAAGAAAGATAAAAGAAAATAAAAGAATCAACAGAAGAGATGAAGGAATGAGACAATGAAGGAAAAATTTGAGAGACGATAAATGAAAAAATAAATGAAGAAAGCAGTAAAAGGAAAAAGAATAAAAGAGAAATTGAAGAAGAGGAAAATTATGGAAAAAACAAGCGATCATAGATTGGATGGAAAAGAATGCGTAAATGAGAAGAGAGATGAAAAAGAAAGAAAAAGGAAAGAAAGAAAAAAGAGGAAAATAAAGAAAAGAAAAAATGAAGAGGTGAATAAAAGAGAATATGATTAAAGTAAAGCATGCATTACTCACAGCATATTGCTATTATATCCAAAATGTTAATGCATTACCAGTGATTTTACTAAAGAAAATGCATTGAAAATCAAGAACAAATAGATTGTTAATGGTCAGGAATTAATACAAGTATTACTGGCAGAATATGACTATTATATTTATAATGTAAATTCATTGCTAGTAATTTTACTATAAAAATACACAGAAAACTTGAAAGAAAGACACTGTCAGTGGTCAGGAGTAAAAGCAAGTATTAGTGTAAGAATAGGGCTATTATATTTATAATGTAAATGTACTGATAATGATTTTAAATTAATATCATTGAAAAGATGATCACCAATCAAGTAAGTGAAATGCTGGCCAATAATAATGGTTAGCTGTCTGTTGTAGAATAGAAAGAACTATTATTTTAAGATTCCTGGTATTATTTGTCCTGCAAACAATATTTTGCTGAGTTGTGTGAGTCCAAGCAATGAAAATGAGACAATTAATAAATGTATTAACAAAACATGATTACAGAAAAGTAAGGAAAGAAGGAAGGCATGGTGAAGTAATGGATGGCAGTTCAGATTGAGGAATTAGAGAGCCAAGTTCGAATTCCAGTCAAATCCATTACTTCTCTTTAGCCTTGGATGGCAACTGGTCTACCGCAGAAAGAAATAGCAACCTACTGCAGGAAAAAAATCTGCCTCATCAGTCATGTATCGAAAGATACATGATCACCTAAGCATGTATCACACATGGCACACAACTGACTGAAGGAAAGAAATTAATTTTATCATTGAAGTTATCAATAGGTCAACACCATTTTCAGTTGATGATTCTCAAGTATATAAATGACATGTGTTTTGTGGCAGGAAGCAAAAAGAGCACATAGTTGTTCTAAAAGTCAAAGGGAAAAGAGAGTGAGCCTTTTAAAAATCACACTGCCTGTAATTTTATTCAGAGAGAATAATCCAATATAGCAAATGACAAACATATGTAATGATGGAATACCCACTTAAAAGCAACTGTTTGGCTGAAAATGTGGTCTATAAGACCACAATAGTAAGTGAAAATGGTGTTAAATATTATATTGGGGGTGCAGAAGGGTAGTAATTAAATCTATAAGAATACCACAACATGTTTGACTCATTACTGGAAGTTAAAAGAAATGGGTGAGACTTAAGCTAGAAAAAATATCAAAGTGTAACTATTGAAAACCTTATATTGAAAGGTGTGGCAAACGCAACCTGTGCCACTTTCAAAAAAATAGCAGTATTACAATGTATAAGGGATGAAAAGATGCCAAATAAACAGCAAGAGTTGTTGACTTTCTTTAGTCATAGGAATAAGATCTGAGTGAAAATTGTTGGCCTTGAATGAACAGTAATTTTATATGAAACAGAAAACCCCCACCACAGGACTACAGCACCTCCATATTTGAAATAGACACCTCATTTATAATTGTTAAACATTTACACCTATTGGCCTGCAGAATTCAAGAATTCTTAAGTAAAGATAAATGCCCAGAACATGTGAAGTTATAAAAATGTCAGATTAAAATAAATCATATATATATATATATATATATATATATATATATATATATTATATGATGCATGTTTCATTAAATAATATAGACAAATTTTGTCTATTTATTTCATGCAAATTTATTTCATATCATCTGATAAGCTTAATAACATTATCATTGAAAGATGAAAAAAATCACCATATTGATACATGTTTTTTAATCGTATCTAAGCTTTCAGCTTACATAAGCTATCAACAAAGATGACAATAACATTACAATATATTAAACAATACAGGGACATGGCAATAATGATAGTCTGTTTTTGTTTGCATGGAAGATTTACAAGCAATGACAAACTCATGCATACGAGATGCTGGAAGCGAAAATCACACTGTGGCTCATGACGTCACACATGATCACGCGAGAATGAAAACAAGAAGTGTTAAGCATGGAAAGCCGTTGGTATAAACCAATGGCTTCTGTTATCAATTATAGACATCTGCATATATTTGTGGAGTTTTCATAGTTTATTTTGTTCAGGTTAGGTTTCAACAGTTTTATGTATATAGCTTCAAGAATTTTTAATCTTTGTTTATTGTTTTCATTGTGAAAGTGAGTTTGTGGTGTGACCAACATAAATATTATTTAATCCATTGCAGATACAATCTCCCAGGGGGCAATCAGATTTTAAACTGTTGGATTTTTGCAAATTGCTACTGGTGGGGGAAGAATCATTGCGAATAATTTAGTTGGATATAATTGATTTAGTGTAGTATATGATTAACTTAATTTTTTACTAGGATCTGTTGTAGAGATATTAGTATTTACCAATTTTTTTAGTATATATATATATATATATATATATATATTACGTTTTCAAAACCAGCGTCTACCTAATTTATATTTCTTATTTCCAATCTTATTTTCAAACTTAAATGTTAATCTCAGCTTAAATTCAAATTCAAAATACAAAACTACAATTCACTTAAATATTTTAACTCGAATAATATTCCACCCCAACAATAATATAACTAGAAAATTAAAAAAAAAAAAAAAATATAATTCCAGCCCTTGAGAATTGCTTTGGCATGAAACTTGGAGTTGTGCAATTAATGTAAGTTATTATGTATATCTCTTAATATTGAGCACTGTTTTTTCTTACTCAATAGAGTATTTATATGTATTTGTACATGATTGCTCACCTAACTCATATTCCTACTTATATTTACCCATTTGGTTATATATATATATATATATATATATATTTAAGTTACAAATGGGTAATTCCAAGGAGGATGAAATCCTGAGAGCTCAATGTGAATACAGAGCTAATATTTAATGAAAAACAAACCACTTTAAGGTACCATTACAATAATTTATTTCACCAAAATCCTTTTTAAAGGACTCCGGATCATCAGGTAACAATTCCAACAATGGAATATATATATATATACACACACATACACATACACACGCACACACACACACACACACACACATATATATATATATATATATATATACTTGTTCATACTGTTGTCCTCATTTTTATTGCCATATTATTCATGTTTCTTCTGTTTTATGGTCTGCCTTCTTCAGGTGATATTGGTTGGTATTTCAAACCAAACTCTTTATTTAGTCCTTAAGAATAGATTGTTCTAATTCCATGTGCCTTGTCTTTGGATATCTCAATTTTAGCTAATTCCTCTTGATAACTCAAGTCTTCAAGCTTTTGTACTCTCTGCTGTGGCCAGGGATTGAACTCACAAAAAGTCAGCATCTTCATCAGGTTATCTATTGGTCTACTGTCATGTTCTCCGAGAGGCCATTCTGTCCCTTACTACTGATAGTGCCTCCTCTGTGGGTATCTTGGTTAACAAACTTGCCATGTCCATGATCACTATCTGGTTGGATTGGATGGGGCCTTTTTTATCATTTCCATAACATTGGACATATGATGAAGACTTTCATATTAATGCATCAACTATATACAAAAGTAAGCAACCTAGAGAATGGTATGCAGAGCCTTGGCAGCTAACAATTGGCCTGAGAGTAACAGAATCTTTGTGAATTTGGGGGAGACCATATATGTGAGGTAGCTTGCTGTAACTTTGTGAGAACTGCTTTTATATCTTAGGCTGGAAGTGGTCCTTGTTCTTGATCAGGATCTGTGACAGTTTTAAAAACAGAAAGAAAACTGTTGCAGATCCTAGTGTGTGTGTGTGTGTGTGAGTGTGTGTGTGTGTGTGTGTGTGTTTGTGCCTTTGTACATGCATGGATAAATGATTTTTGTGTGTGTGTGTGTGTTTGTGTGTGTGTGTCTATGGATGTATATTGATGGATGAATAAATTGATGAATGAATAAATTGATTGATGTGTGTGTGTGTGTGTGTGTGTGTGTGTGTGTGTGTGTGTGTGTGTGAGTATATGCTGTGCGTATCACTTTGTTTCTGTATGTGTCTTTGTCTCTGCCTCTGCATCTCTGAGTCTTTTTATGTCCACATACATATGGAAGCACAGAAAAGGTATCTTTTCAAAATCGGTAAATACATTTGATGTAGTGAATCAGTGTGACATGTCCTATTCATCTTGATGACATTGTATGACCACACAACATCCATGAATCATTCTTTGCTTGACATGGCTTTAAAGGACATATCTATCTCACAGATCTAAAAAAGTACCATTACTTGTCTCACACCACCACCTTGACTCTAATATATGCTCAAGAGTCACATCAAAGACATTAGCATTTTGATGCCATTTTAGTATCATTCAAATAATTTCTCAAAAAAGTTGCATTTTTAGGTGCTAAGCCAACACATACATCATATTCTTTATTTCTGATTTCAATATTTCTGATAAAGGTAAGATGAAAGAAATACTAGTCATAAATCAATAATGGCTGACAATGCTTTATCTAATAAAAAATCAAGAGAATATTACTACTATTAATACTACTAATGTAATGAAAAGCAAGTGAAAATAAGATGAAAGAAATACTAGTCAAAAGTGAATAATAGTTGACAATACTTCATTTAATAAAAAGTCTAGATAATGTAACTGTTATTAATACTAATAATGTAATAAAAAGTATTGTGACATTAGAGATAGTAGCAGTAGCAGCTCTAAATAAGCCTTATATCAGCAGCAACTCTCAAATATAAAAACATGTCAGCCCTAAAGTAACTTTTTTTCCAGAGTTTTCCCGTTTTTCAAACTGCTGAAATAGACTTTCCACACTGAAGCTACAAGGGTTTGTTATAGACAAGCGTATGGTTGCAAGAAAGAAATACGACAACAGTAGAAATAGATTTACGTGGTTTATTTCAACAGGAACGTAAGGGTTTAGGACAGCTACCTTGGTGTGGTAAAGTTCATAAGCCGGCTTTCGGATCTAGGTCGATCTCTCATAGTAGTTCACATATGATGACGGTGGTTGACGATCTCCTGCTGTCAGCAGCTGGACGTGACAGGTCTCTATCCTGAGCACCTGTGGGCTGACTGTTGAACTTCCGTGTGACCCCTTTTATAGTGTTTTTTTATGGCTTAACAGGCTCGAGAAACGAAGCGAATATAATTAGGAGGGAAGCATTTTTATTGGACGAAAAATAGAGCACTTTAAATATTATTTTATTTTTCAACCGGAACACGTGTGTCGGAAACAGTTAATGGTCATTTTGTGACGGGGCTTTGTCCCGTTCACATCTGGTTCTCGCTCTTGAGTATTCGCCTGTAAATCAGCTGAGATATGTCTTATTTTATTTTATAACAGGTTGCAAATGCTTCACATAAAACACATCAACAAAGTAAATTCCTGCTATAACATATTAATGAACATTTTGTTGTGTATATAATTTGTGTTTAACAAAAGAGAATATTACTATTAATAATACTACTAACTTAATAAAAAGCATCTAAAATTAAGATGAAAGAAATACTAATAAAAAATGAATAATGGTTGACAATGCTTCATCTAATAAAACTTCAAGAGAATATTACTAATACTATTAATGTAATAAAAACCAGGTGAAATTAAGATATAGAAATTGAATAATAGTTGATATTTCTTCATAGTATCTGTTGTGGATTCTGTGGATGGAATCCTGCACAAATAAATAAACAATGCCAGTAACTGAGATAGAAAAATAAGTGTATTAATACAGACTTGAAGTGAAGATTAGTAGTCCAGGAGTGCGGGTTAGTAGAAAGTATATGTACAAGTCTCTGTAAGTAAAGCCGTAATCATCTCTCTCTCTCTCTCTCTCTCTCTGGACTCTTGTATAACTCTCTGAGAACACCCTGTGTCTGTCTCCGTATCTCTCAACCTGCCTCAACGTATCTCTACGTATCTCAACGTATCTCCACGTATCTCAACGTATCTCGGTATTTAATATCCCACCAACGAGGAATATATGTGGCACAAGACAAACCTTCGTCCAGGTTCCTCTCTGGCAAAGTAGAAAGTTCGACAGACGGCGCTAACAGTCAAGGACTGTATCGCGTCGTATCTCAACAGCATGTATTCTCTCTGTCAGTATAAGTATACTTTGGACGAGTCCATCTTATGCAAAAAGGGGAGAGCCCCACAACAGTATCATAGTATGATATTTCTTCATATTATCATAATAATAAGAAAATAATATTATTATTCATGGCCATAGACCAGAGGTGCAATTAGTAGCAATGAAAGCAGCAGAACTTATGGTAAATAATTACTCATAAAATATTTTTCCTGTCTGACAATGTTTCATTTGATAAAGACTTACAATAATAACTATTAATTGCAATAAAAAGCAACTAAAATTAAGAT